TATATATATATATATATAGAGAGAGAGAGAGAGAGAGAGAGTTTGTGTTTCTTCCAACAAAGATGGAAATGTTTGGAGTTCAAACTAACTTTTTCATATTTACTTCATATTAATGTATTTGTGTTGAAATATGGTTTCTGTGGATTGTTTATTATTATTTCCATCTAGCACTAAACAAAAATGATGATGTATGATAATAAAAATACTATATATAGATATCTATATATTAGTGCAGTCAAGCGATTAATCGCATCCAAAATAAAAGTTTTTGTTTGCGTAATATATGTGTGTGTTCTGTGTATATTTATTATGTATATATATATAAATGCACACACATACAGTATATATTTTGAAAATATTTGCATGCATTTACATGTCTAAAATTTATATTCAAATAATTTATTTGATAAATATATTTAATATATAAACATAACATATTTTTCTTAAATATATACATGCATGTGTGTGTGCGTATTTATATATACATAATAAATATACACAACACACATGCATATATTATGTAAACAAAAACTTATTTTAGATGCGATTAATCATTTGACAGCACTAATATATATATATATTGAATGGTTAAGCTTGTCTTCCACTAAAACTCACTTACACATTGAGAGAAAATGTGCTTAAATGTCACTTTAGGGAATATTTTGTAGAACTTAAAAAAATAAATATATATATATTTATTTTTTTAAGTTCTACAAAATATTCCCTAAAGTGACATTTAAGCACATTTTCTCTCAATGTGTAAGTGAGTTTTAGTGGAAGACAAGCTTAACCATTCAATATATATATATATTGAATGGTTAAGCTTGTCTTCCACTAAAACTCACTTACACATTGAGAGAAAATGTGCTTAAATGTCACTTTAGGGAATATTTTGTAGAACTTAAAAAAATAAATATATATATATTTAAAAAATGTTTTTTTGTTGGTAATTTGGTGAAAATCACATGGTAACAGGGTTTAGCACAAATGTGGGAAACTGTTAAAAATTATGTAAAAAAATTATTTAATAATTTAAAAAAGCTTTTTAGTATGTAGAATTGAATATATAATATATTATTATTATTATTAGCATTTTATTTGTATTATTTTGGACATTTTAAATTATTACACAGCATGATTTTAAATATTTTGGGTCAGGAAGAAATATATACATTATATATATACACTATAAAAAGATTTTCTGTATTTCAAACTAGAGACCTAAGGAGGTGAATTGTATATTATAAGCTGATGTAAAGCGGCTGTGAAGCTCACACTCGTGATTGACTCATATACTGTACGTGTGAAGTGCTGTACTGTACATCTGAGTGATGTTATGAATAACAGATGGAGGGAAGCAGATGCTGAGCTCTGTGACGGGATTATTTTGATGAGATGAAGGACTTTCATATGCAGTGTATGTTTTAATCTAACACTTTGCGATCGTAATAAATGATTGCAGTTTCACTGTCATAAATTACATGATTAATATGTAGAATAATTAAATATAGCTGGTTTTGTCGATTAAATATGTTGCGCTTGTTCTATTTTTTTAAGCAGACATTCAGTGACAAAAGGAAGACTGCAGCTTTAATAACTTACAAAATCAGTGTAGCACATGATTCGTAACAGATTTACAGTGTGTTTTTGGACTGTTGAGGGAAATGTGCAGTATCTGACTGGTCACTTTAGGATCTTTCTCCAGGGTCAAAGGTCACGTGGTGATAAAATGTGATTATTTTGATTTCCTCTGCTCTCTGAACCGATCTAAGTGATGTGTGTAAATATATGAATTCATAACATTTAATGAAGGCAAAGACTCAAGATGACATTCTTTCCTCTCTTTTTTCTCCTACTACAGAACATTTATATGAATGACTAACTTCAGATCTGTTGGTGTTTTTCGTTATATCTGAACACAAAATGATGATGTAATTATATACAGGGTGGTATGTATGCTTTTAGATGCGGAACAGAACGCTGTTTAGTCATCACACGGGATACATTGGTCAGATTGTGCTGAATTATAGAAATCTCATCCCACGTGAGCATCACAACTATAACCAATCACATGACTGGGACTTTCCGTTGACTTCTGCTGTTTAATAATGACCTAATGATATATTATATTATATTATATTATATTATATTATTAGACCCAAAACCTTCAAGCAAAACATTACTATGTAAGACATTATATTACATATTACCTATTATATTTTGTCATGTAATATAGAGCCAAAACCCTCATGCAATTTGTATATTATATTATATTATATTATTTAGAGCCAAAATGCTTAAGCAACCATTTTCTTTTTGAATATTTTCATGAAGACATCACTATATAACATATTTTATTTTGTTTCATTTCGTTTCATTATTTCATTTTAATTTCATTTCATTATTTCATTTTTTTTTTCATTTCATTTTAATTTAATTTCAATTTAATTTAATTATTTCATTTTATTTCTTTTCATTTTCATTTTCCTTTAATTTCGATTTCATTTCAATTTCATTTCATTATTTCATTTTATTTCAATTTAATTTCAATTTAATTTCAATTTCATTATTTCATTTCATTTTAATTTAATTTCAATTTAATTTCATTATTTCATTTCTTTTCATTTTCATTTTCCTTTAATTTCATTTCGATTTCATTTCAATTTCATTTCATTATTTCATTTTATTTCAATTTAATTTCAATTTAATTTCATTATTTCATTTCTTTTCATTTTCATTTTCCTTTAATTTCGATTTCATTTCAATTTCATTTCATTATTTCATTTTATTTCAATTTAATTTCAATTTAATTTCATTATTTCATTTTTATTTCATTTTAACTTAATTTAGATTTCATTTCAATTTAATTTCATTATTTAATTTTATTTCTTTTCTTTTCAATTTCAATTTAATTTCATTATTTCATTTTATTTCAATTTAATTTCATTATTTCATTTTAATTTAATTTCAATTTAATTTCATTTAATTTCATTTAATTTAGTTTAGTTTAGTTTCATTTCGTTTGGTTTAGTTTAGTTTAGTTTAGTTTGGTTATGGACCCGAAACCCTCACACAAGTGTTTTTGCATTTGTAAATGTTCACGAAAGCATTATTCAGTGTGTTAATGCAGTTGTTTCCAGTAATGTTGCTGGTTTCAGCTTGTCCTGTAGTTGTGGGACATTTGGTGAAATCTGACACCTGTATTTGACCTTGATCTCAGATGTTTGATTTTATTCTTAAATGAAATCATTAACATGTTTTAACACCAGCTGCATTCAATCATTAAAGAATAAATCATTATCATTTCCATTTATTTTAATATTAACAGTCATTTTAATCCATAAAATTGGACTATAACACAGATGATTAGACACAAAGCAGGAATTTAGGAGCAGAACAAATCCAGACCTGTTGAACCCAGCCTTACATTCTCTCTCTCTCTCTCTCTCTCTCTCTCTTTACCACAAAAACATTATTTATACAAATGTTCATAGGAATGTTCGTACAACCAAGAAGAAACATTTAGAGAACTTTCATAACATTTTGATATTAATGTTGATATTTTTGATAGCGCTAGTGACGTTCAGAAGGTAATAGCATGGTATCTTTGAGTAAATGTTAGATGTGAGCTGGTTATCAGTAGGGTTACACACAGATGAAAGTGCTGACCTCTGCACTGATCACCTTTACACTCATCCACACGTTACTGCGGCAGATTAATAGTGAAGTAACCTCGGAGTAAGTGAGGCAGAGGTCATGATGGGAAAAGATAAATGAGCAAATGAGAACTTGTGGTTTTGAAATCATTGCACACAAATGTGGATTAGTTGGAGAACAGCAACTCAAACAGACTATAATTAACCAGGTCAAAGCTGAAGGAATAATAGAAGTGATGAAGCAATCATTCAGATTCAGTCCGCCCGCTTTATGAAGCTAACCTGCTGGAACGAGCTTGTTGCTGGACCCAGATGGTTAATTTTATTCAAAGTGAATGAAAACTTGATCAAAAATGAAAAAGGTTCAAGAAATCAAATGAAAACAAAAATTCCAGTACCCAGTATAACATATATTATGAGATAAAAAGTTACAGTTATGACAGAAAGATGAAATTATGAGATTATGAAGTCATATTTATGGTATTAAAAGTCATAAGCATGAGATAAAAAGTCAAAATGTTGATAAAAAGTTGATTATAACAGTTGAAATTGTGACACTCATTTATGGCATAAAAAAATTATTATGAGAAAAAAAATCATAATTATGATATAAAAGTCTTAAAAAAGTGGATTATAACAGATGAAATTATGACAAAGTCAAAATTCTGATAAAAAGTAAAAAATTATGAGAAAAACTAATTTATGGCATTAAAAATATTAGTTATGAGATTTTTTAAAAATCATAATTATGATATAAAAGTATAAATTATGTGATAAAAAGTGGATTATAACAGTTTCTGAGTCAAAATTCTGACAAAAAGTAAAAAATGATGGGATAAACTCATTTATGGCATTAAAGATAATTATGAGAAAAAAATTCATAATTATGAGATAAAATTCTAAATGATGTGATAAAAAGTGGATTATAACAGCACCAGGGGTGCCCAATCCTGTTCCTGGAGATCTACCGTCCTGCAGACTTCCGTTCCAGCCCTGCTCCAACACAGCTTTCTGTAATTACAAGTGCTCCTGAAGAGATTAATTAGCTGGTTCTGTGTGTCTGATCAGGGCTGGAGCTGAACTTTGCAGGACGGTAGATCTCCAGGAGCAGAGTTAGACTGTAATGTGCTGGAGGATGAAGCAAGCAGGCAGGGAACACGGATCTAAATGCAGGCAGTTTAATAACAAAACAAGAACAAACAATAAACCAAAACACGGGAAACAAGGAACTATGAGCTATGTTCTATGAGCAGAAACGGCACCATAACATCCAACAACTGCCAAAGCACAAGAGAAACTCGAGTGCTGTTTAATACAAGGGTCCAAGGGAGAAAATTAGTTACTATGGGAACTAACAAGGAGTGGGTGTGGTCCAGTGAGTGACTATGGCAACTAATGAGGGTAACTATGAAGACAAACAGACAAAATTATGAGATGAAAAAGTCGAAATAATGTGATAAAAAAAAAATCTAAATTATGCCAAAAAGATGAAATTATGAGTTTAAAGAGTCATATTTATGGCATTGAGAAAAACAAATCATAATTATGAGATATAAAGTCATAATTGACTAAAGGTTGTAATTATGCCAAATCTAAATTATGCCAAAAAGATGAAATTATGAGTTTAAAGAGTCATATTTATGGCATTGAGAAAAACAAATCATAATTATGAGATATAAAGTCATAATTGACTAAAGGTTGTAATTATGCCAAATCTAAATTATGCCAAAAAGATGAAATTATGAGTTTAAAGAGTCATATTTATGGCATTGAGAAAAACAAATCATAATTATGAGATATAAAGTCATACTTGACTAAAGGTTGTAATTATGAGATCAAAAAAATCTAAATTATACCAAAAAGATGAAATTTTAATATTTATAGCATTGAGATAAAAAAGATATAAAGTCAGAACTGACAAACGGTTGACATTGAGATTTTAAAAAATTTAAAAAATAAAAATTATGCCAAAAAGATGAAGTTATGATTTTAAAGTCATATTTATGGCATTGAGATAAAAATGCATAATTATGAGATGTAAAGTCATAATTGACTAAAGGTTGTAATCATGCCAAATCTAAATTATGCCAAAAAGATGAAATTATGAGTTTAAAGAGTCATATTTATGGCATTGAGATAAAAATGCATAATTATGAGATATAAAGTCATAATTGACAAAATGTTGAAATTATGAGATAAAAAGTCAAAATTATGTTATAAAAAATTTATGTTGATGTTGAAATTATGAGATAAAAATACAAAAAGACAAAATTATGAGATTAAAAAGTCATATGGCATTAAAAGTCATGATTATGAGATAACTGTCATAATTATGACAAATTTATATGAATAAAAAGTCAAAATAATATGATAAAAATAGATTATAACATTTGAAATTCTGAGATAAAAAAATCTAAATTATGCAGAAAATTATGCTGAAAATTGTTGAAATTATAAGATAAAAAGACAAAATTATGAGATTAAAAAGTCATATGGCATTAAGTCATAACTATGAGATAAAAATCATAATTATGATACAGTCATAATTATGACAAAAAGTTGGAATTATGAGACATTTTTTAGCCTTGTCATAATTGAATCAGAAACTCTGGATGAAGTAGTATGAGGGACCTTCACACATTGTTATATAGGTTGAGAAGCACTGATGTAAAGCAGCTCATGATCATAAATGTCCAGCTAGAGACCATGTAAAGCCCACTGTCTTTGAGCTGATTTCCATCAGTAAGAGCCGTAGAGCCCTGCTGAGAGTGGGATCAGGGTTCAGAGCTCCTCTGTTTCCTCAGCTGGCGGTTCCTGACGTCACAGAGGCCTCAAGCGGAGCCGACTTCCTGATCTTCGTCATTCCTCATCAGTTTATTGGGAAGATCTGTGACCAGATGAAACCTCACGTCAAACCTGGAGCCACGGGCATCTCCCTCATTAAAGTATGAGACAATCACCATATCTTTTTTACGCAGTCAGCGATGTTTTAGTATTGAATGTATGTATTATATTTATTACTAACCAGTATTGATCATTCTGTGTGTGTGTGTGTGTGTGTGTGTGTGTGTGTGTGTGTTAAGGGCATCGATGAGGGTCCGGATGGACTGACCCTGATCTCTGACATCATCAGGTCCAAGCTGGAGATCGAGGTCAGTGTGCTGATGGGTGCCAACATCGCCAGCGAGGTGGCCGAGGAGAAGTTCTGCGAGACCACCATCGGTGTGTGTGACATCACTTCCTGTGAGAAACCTGCAGAGCGCTTGACCTCGTGTGTTTATGACTGTGTGTGTGTGTTTCAGGAGCCACTAATGAATCCAACGGCAAGGTCTTCAAAGAGCTTCTGCAGACGCCGAACTTCCGCATCACTGTGGTGAAGGAGAGCGACACGGTGGAGCTGTGTGGAGCGCTGAAGGTACCGGAGACACACAATCATCTAGAAGTCATCTTTAAAGCATCGTCTCACTTGTTCAGATTGCTGATGTTATGGAAGCTTAGGTAAATCAGAACTATGAGATCATTAGGGCAAATAAATTTAATTATGAGATCATGAGTCATGATAATGGCAAAAAGACAAAATTATGAGATAAAAAGCTGAATTATGAAGGGTAGTTATAATTATGGGAGAACCAGTCAAAATTATAAGATAAAACGTCAAATTAATGAGCTAAAAGTAATAATTATGCCCCCCAAAACCAAATTTTAAATGAGATAAAAAGTCATAATTATGACAAAAAAAAAATCTAAATTCTGAGATACAAGTCATAATTATGACAAAAAGACAAAATTATGAGATAAAAATCTGAATTATGAGGGAAAGTTATAATTATGACAGAACCAGTCAAAATTATGAGCTAAAAAGTAATAATTATGCCCCCCCCCCCCAAAAAAAAAAAACTAAACAAAATTTGAAATCATGAGATAAAAAGTCATATGACAAAAAGTCACAATTCTGAAATAAAAACTCATAATTATGACAGAAAAGTCAAAAGTATGAGATAAAAAGTCATGATGTGTGTGTGTGTGTGTGTATTAATGTGTGTGTGTGTGTGTATTAATGTGTGTGTGTGTGTGTATTAATGTGTGTGTGTGTGTGTATTAATGTGTGTGTGTGTGTGTATTAATGTGTGTGTGTGTGTGTATTAATGTGTGTGTGTGTGTGTATTAATGTGTGTGTGTGTGTGTATTAATGTGTGTGTGTGTGTGTATTAATGTGTGTGTGTGTGTGTATTAATGTGTGTGTGTGTGTGTATTAATGTGTGTGTGTGTGTGTATTAATGTGTGTGTGTGTGTGTATTAATGTGTGTGTGTGTGTGTATTAATGTGTGTGTGTGTGTGTATTAATGTGTGTGTGTGTGTGTATTAATGTGTGTGTGTGTGTGTATTAATGTGTGTGTGTGTGTGTATTAATGTGTGTGTGTGTGTGTATTAATGTGTGTGTGTGTGTGTATTAATGTGAGTGTGTATGTTAATATGTGTGTGTGTGTGTGTATTAATGTGTGTGTGTATATTAATGTGTGTGTGTGTGTGTATTAATGTGTGTGTGTATGTTAATGTGTTTGTGTGTGTGTATATTAATGTGTGTGTGTGTGTATTAATGTTTGTGTGTGTGTGTTAATGTGTGTGCGTGTATATTAATATGTGTGTGTGTACGTCAAACATGTATTTACCATCACTGTACAGTTTAATGTGTGCATCATCTGTTATTAACCTTCATACTCATAAGACATCGCCTGTCAAAATAACCCAGAGCATTATGATTGCACATCTTCTTTTTTGTCCAGATATCTTATATCATTTCATTCTAATCAAATCTAAACATTATTATTTATGCAGTTTTTGTGAAGGTTTGTTAAAAACCATTTTATCTACGTCTAAATTACTAGTTTTAACCAATAAAATTATCATATATATATATATATATATATACACACACACATAACATTTCTAATATATATATATATATATATATATGTTAGTTAGTTAGTTTGGGAGATTTATTTATTTTGTTTATTTACCTCTAAATTACAGGTTTGTACCAATACTTTCTAATAATAATAATAATAAATTATATATAGTATTTATAATATATTTAATTTAATTCATTTTTGTTTAATTTAATTTAATTTACCTTTAAAGTACTATATATATTTTTTTTTACCAATAATTTTAATATAAACATCAATGCAGTTTCATGACTCTGGCCACTAGATGGAACAAATGAACTGCACAATTTGGCATCAGAACTAATTTTAAGCCAGTTTGTGTGATTTGAATGTGATTTCTATGTTATTTACCTGTTGTTTCTGTTTTTCATCAGTCAATAGCGGAGCTGGAAGCTGAGATGTTGAACGGTCAGAAGCTCCAGGGTCCTCAGACGTCTGCAGAGGTTTACAAGATCCTCCAGAAGAAGAACATGGTGCACAAGTGAGTCTGAGTGACGTTATCATCCTCATCAGCGTGTGTGTGTGTGTGTGTGAGAGAGAGAGAGAGAGAGAGTGTGGGTGTGTGTGAGAGAGAGAGAGAGAGAGAGAGAGAGAGAGTGTGTGTGTGTGTGTGAGAGAGAGAGAGAGAGAGAGAGTGTGTGTGTGTGTGTTAATGTGAGAGTGTGTGTGTGTGTGTGTGTGAGAGTGTGTGTGTGAGTGTGTGTGTGTGTATTAATGTCTGTGTGTGTGTGTGAGTGTGTGTGTGTGTGTATTAATGTCTGTGTGTGTGTGTGTGTGTGTGTGTGTGTGCAGGTTTCCTCTGTTCGTCTCCGTGTATCAGATCTGTTTTGAGGGCCGGCAGGTGCAGGACTTCATCAGCTGCCTTCAGAACCATCCAGAACACATGTGAGCGACCCGAACCGAACCGAACCGAACCGAAGCCAAGCGATCAGAAACACACACACACTAACATTAGCCTGAATCTACTGAGCTGCACTCACACCTCACCTATTACGAGAAGAGAATTATGAGTCGTCTTAAGTCCAGAATGATGAGAGTATTTGTGTCATTTCTGACTCAGGACTGTAACGCTGGTAAACGCACATGTGCAGCATTTTATGTTTGGAGTTTTGATCATAACTGTTCTATAGAGAATGTAATACTTTATAACACAATCAATAAAAGCCATGCTGCTTATTTGAATCTTTTAATCGAACTTTGAGCTTCATTTATTCTTACAACAGTGAACAGAAACATAAAATAACACTTGTTGTTCTTCATGAGCCACATAAAACAATCTCTAATTTCAGTGTTTAAATGAAAGACACACACTTTTTAATAAAAATGTGAATGTTATAATAAAATAATTATTAATATTATATAAAATATTACATTTATATTTATACAAATATGAACATTATAAGAAAAATAACGAATAACATAAAATGTATAAATCTGATATGAAATATTATATTTATAAAAACATGCATATTATAGTTACTTCAACGTTTTCCTTTCTCACATAAAATGAATGAATCGCTGATTTCAGTGTTTAAATGGCTTAAAGATATAAATTTTTTTTATGAGTTATTACTATTTTTTACCAATAATTTTAATATAAAATAAGCACAGTTTCATGCATGAAGGTGACACTTCTTTATCTTTTTCTCTTAATTTAATTCTAATAATCTATATATTTTAATTAAATTCTAATAAAAGTAATATTAATATATATATATATATATATATATATATATATATATAATTTTAATCAACCTTGGAGTTTCATTTATAACACAAAATAAGACTTAATTTTCCTCATGAGTCGCATAAAACAATCAATCTCTAATTTCAGTGTTACAGTTAATTTAAGACATATCACATTATTATGATTTAATAATTTTTTATGATTTAATAAAGTGTTTTGTTGTATTTTACATTTTAACATTTAATTTATTTTGGGTTTGTTTTGTTTTGAAAAAGAAAAACAAATACAACGGATCTCTCATTTCAATATTTAAATTAATTATATAAACATCACTGACATTTTTGTCCAGTCAAGCACTCTTTAGACTGAGAATACTCCTCCTCCTAAATTATAAATATTAAAGCAGTATCAACTTTATTTCCAATTTACTTCCACGAATGCTCTTTGCTTTTGTCATGAGTTTGGTTTTTCAGGGCTGTTACAGAAACTAAAGACTTTCAGAAAATCAGTATGTATTAAATAAGATATATTCCGCTCCAGGAAGCTAAGTAATTATTCATAAAAATGATTGGTAATAATGATTAAATATTGCAATATTAAATTAACCTTTTAAAACCTGACAAAATGCCTGTTCTAAAGTCATAACTGTCACATAGTATTTTTTTTATCAAGTGAAAATCAACCTGTTTTTCACCAGCCAGTAAGTAATCTTGTCCATTTTCTGAGCCGTAACTCACAACTAGAACCGCATGATTGATCAGTCCAGAGCAGCACTTCGGATCGCTGTAGCTTCCTGAACACACATATGTATCATTTGGGGGGACTGAAAGCAGATAGACAGGTGTGTGTGATGTATTATATATGTCTCACCACTTCTGTACCTGTGGAAGGAAGCAAGTTTGGCGTTGACAACAACCAATGTTAGCAAGGGCATACTGCAGCGCTGCCTCATTGTGACGTGGAAGAATCCGGAAACCTGAGCAATATCCGGCTCTTCCCGTCACAGAGTATCGACAGGCACCCTGCTGCAAACGTCATCACAATAACAACACAACAACATTACAACATCACAACATTACAACGACATAACAACAATGTCCCTACAATGCCACGCCACTACAATGCCACGTCACTACAACGCCACTGTCACAACAATGTCACTACAACGCCACGTTACTACAACGCCACTGTCACAACAATGTCACTACAACGCCACTGTCACAACAATGCCACGCCAACGCCACGACACTACAACCACGTCACTACAACGCCACTACAATGTCACTACAACGCCACGTCACTACAACGCCATTACATTGTCACTGCAACGCCACGTCACTACAACGCCACTACAATGTCACTACAACGCCACTGTCACAACAATGTCCCTACAACACCACGCCACTACAACGGCACTGTCACAACAATGTCACTACAACGCCACGTTACTACAACGCCACTGTCACAACAATGTCACTACAACGCCACTACAATGTCACTACAACGCCACTGTCACAACAATGTCCCTACAACACCACGCCACTACAACGGCACTGTCACAACAATGTCACTACAACACCACGTTACTACAATGCCACTACAACACCACGTCACTACAATGCCATTACAATGTCACTACAACGCCACTACGTCACTACAATGCCACTGTCAAAACAATGTTACTACAACGCCACATCACTACAACACCACTGTCACAACAATGTCACTACAATGCCACGTAACTACAATGCCACTACAACGCCACTGTCACAACAATGTCACTACAACGCCATTACAATGTCACTACAACGCCACTGTCACAACAGTCACTACAACGCCACGTCACTACAACGCCATTACATTGTCACTGCAACGCCACGTCACTACAACGCCATTACAATGTCACTACAATGCCACGTCACTACGACGCCACTACAATGTCACTACAATGCCACTGTCACAACAATGTCACTACAATGCCACAATGTTACAACGTCACTACAACGCCGCCACAACACCACAACAACAAAGTCACTATAAATGTCACAACGTCACTACAACGCCACAACAATGCCACTACAATGTCACAACAATAACGGCACTATAAACGTCCCAACAACGCCACCACAACACAGACACTATAAACATCACAATGTCACTACGCCACAATAACGCCACAACAACGTCACAACAACACCACATTAACGCCACTACAACAACGGCACTATAAACGCCGCCACAACAATGTCACTACAACATTATAACAATGGCACAATGCAACAACAACGTCACTATGTCACAACAATGCCACAACGTCACTAAAACGTAACTACAACCCCACTACAACTTCACAACATCACTGTCACTACAACGCCACAACAACGTCACAACAACAACATTCAGACCTTCTAGATCAGGGATTCACAAACTCTGTCATCAGCCAAACCCCTTAGATTTAATATTACAATCATTTAACACATTTGCTTGTTATTTTGAAAAGATTCATATTATTTTTCATGATTTAGTTTTTAGAAAGTTTTATTCTGATTGTTTTTATTTTTAAATTAATTATTTTAATTTCACATTTTCATGATTTAATCAATTTTAAGTAACCATTTTATTTTCATTGTTTTTTTTTATAGTGTTTTATTAGTGTTGATATGACACTTTTATGGTTTAATTAATTTTTAGTAAGTGTTTTTCATTGTTTTTATTTTAAAAGTATTTGAAATGTACATTTTTATGATTTTGTTTTCGTCAGGTTTTTTAAAAATTGTTTTTATTTAAAAATTATTCATTTAATTTTACATTGTGGTCTGATTACTTTTTAGTAAATATTTTATTTTAAAATTATTTATATTAATTTGACATTTTAATGATTTATTAAATTTTTAGCAAATGTTTCATGTAGATTTTTCGTTTTTTTATTATTTATTTATTTTAATTTGACATTTAGTTTATTAATGATTATTTATGATTGATTATTTTTAGTGAATTTTTATTTTGATTGTTTTTCTTTAAGAAGTATTTATTTCAAATTTTTTTTAAATTCGATTTTATTGTTTTTAGTAAGTGTTTTATTTTTAATTTTTAATTCATCAGTTTTCCAACTCTCTGCAGTTCCCTCACGAACCCCAGCTGGAGAATCCCTGATTTATATCATGCCTGTGAACACTGATGTAGTGAAGCTGAAGGCTCGTAGGGTGTTGTGTTAACGTTCTGCAGTAGCTTGTGTTCATACGGGTAGAAGGTGTTGTTGTTCTGGATGATGTAGAGAAAGGCTCGGCGCCTCTGCAGCCGCGGTTCCCCAGACTCTCACTGCAGTCCAGCAGGTTCTGCGGACTCAAGGGGACCAGAGAACCGGTTCTCCTCTTCATCTGACCCTCCAGAGCACCGACGGCACTGAACGCCCAGCACGAGCCAAACAGGCCCTGAAACTACACACACACACACACACACACACACACGCGCATACACACACACACACACATACATGTGACGCTCCTCTCTCTAGAACACAACACACACACACACACACACACACAAAATACACAACACACTGACTGATGCATATGCACACAAATCCACACAACACTGTCGCAATCTGGCTTTATGCAACTTCTAACCAGTTACCGGTTGCTGAAAAGTGTTTTTGAGGAAGAACTAGACACAGGATTTAACATAGTTCGCCACAAGACACTACAGACAAAACTTAGAGTTTTATTCCTATCTCTATTCTCAAGGTGTTTACTGAGGGGTTTGTTCATATATCATTCACTCTGATTTATACAACATTTAGACAACATTACAAATATGGTCATATCTGTTAGTTTACATATTTAAAACTAGATATCAACAAGCAGAATTACATTTTCTATTTTGTAAACACTGATATCTGAAATAATCAGCATTTGTTGCTTTTGGGCGGACAGAAACTCTGAAGTCGTCACACATTTCCCCTCGCTGCTTTTATTGTGTTATCTCTGAACTCGAGAAGCAAGGCGTTTAGTGTTCAAGAGACGCTGCTTTTCATAAGAAGGACTTAGAAATCATCCAAAAATAGTCAGTAAAGATGCATAGGAAATAAAAATAACAGTAAACGTAAACATCTATTAAAAATGACTTTCAAACGTTTTAAAAGCGAGATGAAAAAGAAAGCGAGTGAGCTGTGGTTGGTCGCTTCGCCTGTCAATCAGACGCTCTCTCCTGTGTAAGTGGGTCTGTGTTAGTGCACAACACACAGCAGCTGGCTTTACTTGACCGTTACAGTTCTCAGAACAGATTAGACCGGACCAATCACAGTCCTGCGCGCTTGCGTTTTATTTAATCCTTTCACAGCACCACTTGAGCTGATTGTGTCTGCATCATTAAATGATCATGTTTTAATGGGAAATAATATGAGGTGATATTTGAGTGTCACAAACCCCATTCTGCTGATCTCAGTTCAGTGGGTCAAACGGCAAACAGACAGTTTGTTTGTACTCACTGTGTTTCTGTAGGTCT